CATCTTATTTGGTCGTCTTGCATTAGGCATAATAATCTTCGCCACAAAAATTAAAATACATATAGTTTGCCCTGCCTGCGTGGCTCAGGTGGCTGGAGGGTCGCTCTAGACATCAAAGGTTGGGGGTTCCATCCCCAGTTGGGGTGTGAATAGAATGTTTCTCTCTCACATCCATGCTTCTCTTTCTCCCTCCCTCCCTCTGGCTTTAAAATCAATAAACATATCCTTGCATGAGGATAAAAACCAACAATGTATCTTTTGAAAAATAGTAACTTCTTTTTGTTTGTTCTCACCAGAGGATATTTTTTCCATTGATTTTAAGAGTGAGTGGAAGGGAAGGGAGTGGGAAGGGGGAGAGAGAGAAAGAGAGGAAGGAGATCAATGTGAGAGAGACACATCGATTGGTTGCCTCCCACATGTACCCCGACGGAGGCTGGGGATCAAACCTGCAACCCAAGTAGGTGCCCTTGACCGGGAATTGAACTGGCAACCCTCTGGTCTGAGGGGGGGCCAACGCTCTAACCGCTAGGCAACGCTGGCCAGGGCAACAATAGTAACTTCCTGATCTCAAGACTCTAGATGGAGCGATCAGACCTCCATATCGCTCGAGTATTTATTCACTGCATATTAATAATCTGCCCAAGCCACTACCATCAGAAAACAAATGAACCCGTATTGATCTACGGCCCGTGTTCAGAAAGCGCAGCTGTAATTACACTGGCGTGTTGGAGATCTTTCAAACTCTGGCAAGGCCTAACTTTTCCCAAAACTGCAATAAATATTTTATCACAGAACATGGACTTGATGGCCTACTGAGGTTTTTCACAGTGCAGGGGAGCGTTCCGAAGATGGCGAGGAATGTAACGTCATACATTTTTCATGCGCTAGAGGTTCAAGGTAATTGATTCCATATTTTTAATCCCAACACGAGGGAAAGCAAGATTATTAGGATCATTAAATATTGATCTCTGTCATAATGTAAGATGGTAATGCTACTCTGCATAAAAGGTGATTTCCGACCTGCGGGGCGCAGGGGGGGGGGGGGCATCCTTGGCCATCTGCCAGGACAAGGAGGCCTAGTGGACTCCATGGATGTCAGGCTTGAGCCATATAGGAAGTGAGGCTGAAAGAGACGGTGGGTGTACAGCTGCCATCTGGGGCAGGAACCCATGGTGACCATTACAGAGGGAAGCCAGAGAGTTCATGGTCCTCATGAGGGACTTCTGTCATCATCTGTTAATTCACTCCAGTGAAGGCGAACCTATGACACGCGTGTCAGAGGTGACACGCAAACTCATTTTTTTGGTTGATTTTTTCTTTGTTCAATGGCATTTAAATATATAAAATAAATACCAAAAATATAAGTCTTTGTTTTACGATGGTTGCAGATATCAAAAAATTTCGATATGTGACGCGGCACCAGAGTTAAGTTAGAGTTTTTCAAAATGCTGACACGCCGAGCTCAAAAGGTTCGCCGTCACTGGTCTAGGTCGTACGATTACTGGGAGAGGGTCTAGGTCAGTGGTTCCCAACCTTTTTTGGCCACGCCCCACCTAAGCATCTCTAACATCCTGGTGCCCGCCCTAGCTGGTTTGGCTCAGTGGATAGAGCGTCGGCCTGTGGACCGAAGGGTCCCGGGTTTGATTCCGGTCAAGGGCACATGCCTGGGTTGCAGTAGAGGCATAGAATTCCTATTTTTCAAACAGTGAACTACTATTCACATGGAGGAAGCCTAAAAGTCTATTAATTTGGTCTAAACAAGCTTCCAAAGAACATGGCATCCATGACAGAGAAAAATAAAGGAACGAAAGGACAGTGGAAGTACTGAGGAAGAAATCACTAGGGAATTGTTAAAAAGAATAGTAATAACATAAAATGATATGAAAAAATAGCAAATACAGCTTCAAAACATAACAGAGAACTGAAATGCATAAATATGTCACAATGTACATTTACAGACTGTATATGAGGCCCCTAGGACCGTAAGAAATGCAAAACGTTCACTGTAAAGAACTCATTCTCGAATGGCCTCCCTGTGGGGTGTGTGCCCCACGTCGGGAACCACTGGTCTAGGTCAGTAACTGGTTATTAGTGTTCATTTTAGTGACACAGTTTTCTCTGTGTAAGACCAACATGGATGTGTGTCTTAGAAATAAATTCATACCTCCATTTCACTGAATTTTTTTACCAAAGTTGGCTGATACTATTTCCTAGTATCGTGGCAAGAAAAAAAATTTAGAAAGCTGCATCTGTTTCATAAAAACGATCTCATTCGCCGAAACCAGTTTGGCTCAGTGGATAGAGCGTCGGCTTGCGGACTGAAAGGTGTGAAACCGGAAACCTGCCCCCGTAGCTTGTTACAGAAAGGGAAGTAAAATCACTTTGCGAAGCGCTGGCCGCGTGATTCGGTTGGTTGGAGCACCATTCCACACA